GAGAGAGAGAGAGAGAGAGAGAGAGAGAGAGAGAGTGAAGATTGAAATCTATTGAATAAAAACGTTTCTCCAAAAGTTGAATGACTTTTAACTATAATTTTATGTTTTGTTCCAAATTTAGAAATTTATTTCATTATAATTATTATAAAACAGTTTTCACTTTATTTTCTAAATTTGAATTAATTTTTATTTTTAGGAAAAACTTTTGCTTATTATAACAGAAAATGTTTTTTGCAAATAAATTATAATTTATTAAAAATCTATTAAACTTTTAATAAAACGTGTAAAATTCAAAATGATTACTTTAAAGTATATAAGTAATATATTGTTCTTGTATTTATAATAATTGTGTAAAATATATTTTTTATTAATGTTTTAATAGTGATGAATGTAAAAATTGCACTAGCCATGTATGGCTTTATATACTATATAAAATTGAGCAATAATTAATCTATTTAAAATTATTGTTAAAATTATTGAATAATTAATTTTAAATAATTTTATACATTAAACAATTAGTATATTTAAGTAAAGGAATATTTAAAATATGATAATTACAGTTATATATTCATTAACAATATAACTAAACGTTTTATAATAAATAAATGTAATATTAATTATGGAAATCAATTAAATTAATTACATAATGATTTATTATTAATGGATAAAATTAAATTAAATTAAGCGTATAATCTATTAAGTTCATTTCTCTTTCGTTTCACAAAAATACAAATCCAAACAATTATAATAGCGATCAAAACGACGACAACTCCCGACACGAGACCCACGAGAAGCCACGGGAAGTTTGATGTCTTTTCGTTGGGATCATAACAATGATTGTCTCGACATATGTTAGTCTCACAAACGTCTTCGTATTCACACGATTCGTGAGTTTTTATTAAATCTATAAGGATTTTGAATGAAATATTAATTCTCATAATTATATGTCAAGTTATATAATTTAATAAAACGTGTTTTATTTAACTTTTTGCAAAAATTTTAATGATTTTTAAAAACTAAAGAAAAAGCTATAAAATTTAAAAGTTGTGATAAAATTATTTCTTAAAAATATACTAAAAGGAAATAAAATTTATGAATACATTAAGAGATATGTATTAAAAATTTGTAAATAGCTTTTGTTAGGTATTATTTAAAACAATTCAAAAAGGTTTCTATCAAACACAAAGAATAGACAAAACATTCATTATTTTTATGACTTAAAAAACAATTTTGTTTTTTACTTCTCAATACGGGTTAACAATATAATGATTATTGTAAAGTATATTTATTAAGGGGATGAATGGGAAACAAGGAACACATTTGTGATAACATAGCTATAGATTTTATATATAAAGCCCATTGCTAATTATCTAGGTTCTACTAGGTTTTCTTACCACTTTGTATGAACTATTTAGGTTTAGGCACAGTTAGAAAAGCTCATCACAAAGCATTATCCTTAGCATATACTGTATTTTAACTCTATTGCTAAGAAATGGTCATATATCAACAAATCGTTTTACATTTATTAAAACTTTTGTAATTGAATTCAATAAAATTAAGTTGAGATTGGAAAATGTAAAAAGCATTATATTTTACCGACAACTTTGATGTCAAAAAATCCCTGAAACACATTCTTCATCTCAAACTTGAGATTGAATTTCCAAGTGTACCGACCATTATGTATACGTCCGGCGTTTTTGATCTCAAACACATTGTGGTAAATATTATAGCCGTCTCTGACAGTCATCGATGTGTTTTCACTAATTCTCATAACGCCTTAAGAAGAAATAGAAGTCAATGATTACCGACATTATAATAATAATGATTATATAAAAATAATGTCACCTTTTTCAATTTCAATTTTGGTCAAATTTCGAGGAAAACTCCACACGATTTCAATGCCATCGCATCCGGAACTCTGAGGATTGTGTTCACACTCTCGGGTGTCAACAGTAAAGTCACACATGTATTGAAACCCATAATCGGCCAGAATTTCATAGTCTCTATGGTTTGGCGACGAAATAACATCAATGTTTGTCTGTTTGCAATCTATGGTAAACTGTCCGACGGCTCCGATAAATGGTTCCCCGTATTGGCCGTTGATTTTCGTAATTAAAGCCAATACTAAACCAACAATTAATGAATGCATTGTTTTTGTTATGACTAATGAGAATATGCGCTAAATGTCTGACAAAAAATAGAAATCAGTAAATATTTGATATCATTATCTCTATTAGAGATTAAGTGGCGTTACGTTAAGAGACGGAAATCATTGAAAATGAGTTGTGAAACAATAGATTCCGCGACTGATGTCTAACTTAAATAGAGATAAGAATTTTATTGCATTTTTGTTACAAAAATCTCTGTATTTTCACAACAAAAGAGAAACCTTATTGTAGTGTTAGCTCTAATGCTCTCTATTTGTTAATGATATTCATAAATACCTACATATTTTAGCAAATATTTTCTTATCTTATTTATTACATTCAATATTTTTAGTAATTATTTATTTGCATTCCAAATATGAGTTATTTTCAAAAAATTTAATTCAAGTTTATATCTTAAAAGAGGATTTATATTAAGTATAGATTTATTTGAATTAAAATTTTAAAATGTAATAATTTAAGAAGATATTGTAGGAATCAATTGTGAATCTCATTCATCAAATACTAAATCTCAATGTAAATAAATGAGTTAAAACTGCAAATTTTTTATTATTTTATTCTAGATTTCTATTCAATACAATTATTGTTTAAACAAAACTTTAAATTTTGGTTAAAAGATTTTAAATAAAATTAACCCAAAAATACAACAATTTTAATATAAATTCAAGTTTTATTAAGATTTTTATTTGTTATAAAAGACATTAAATACAATAATGTATTGTAAAACAAAGTTATTTGTTTGAATACATACAATAAAATGTGCCAAAAATGTTTTATTTATTATTAAATTCATAATTATTTGTTAGAATTTAATGTTTAATTTTGTGCATAACATTTAAAAAGACATTAATCTTCTCATAATTTCATTAAAAGTACAATAAATTGTCATTAAGTAAATATATAATGACATGATCTTATAGTTCAGACAATTTTAATTATATATTTAAATATTTAAATTTTATAATTTTATCAAATTGTGTATATTTTTAATAAATAGTATAAATATAATATATTTTTAACAAATTCATTAATCATTATTCTCTCATCATTTAAATGTTTAGTTGTTATATATATTCTGACATTAATTTATAAGTTGTATAAAACATACAAAATATAATAATAATAACATATTAAACGGTTAGTAACAAAAATCTGTGAACAAAACATAAAGCCATTGATAATAATAATAATAATCAATCAAAACTTTGTTTTTGAAAATAAAATATAAAAATCACATAAAACTTAAATGAATAAATATTTCGCCGATAATCGTCTCCTCATTTAAAAATCGGATCTTATTTTTATTTCACGAAACGTTTTATAAATACATTTTTTCCAATCAATTGAATTCACAAAAACTTTTTTATTATTTTCTCAAAACTTAATTATGAATTTGACTGCAAAACTGGATCTCAAAATGATTGCATACATTAAAAAGCGCTAACTCTTAAAAAATTGTTTTATTTTTTGTGCGAAAAAAATCTTAATTGGAAATAAAGTCACGACTTTTGAGGAAGTCTTCGCAAAACATGTTATAACTGTGTTATTGAGTCTTCTATACTCCTGTCGGCTCTCAATCTCCAGTCAATATAACCTATCATTTGTTGGCTAAAAGTGTCTCAACAAACAAATAATCATTTATTGCCTGAACCTGTGCTTTGATGGCCAATACGTAAGCATTCAGTTTGAAGCCTAAAAATCAAGTCCAACGCTATATTATATAACTCTTGAATTTTTGAGCTCTAATCTCATCCGTGTTTTGAGATTTATATCTTTCTTTCATCTTTTGTCGATTGATATGTCTATTAAGTCAGACATCGGTTTTCTGTTTGCGTTTATTTTTGAAGCCATTTATAACTTCTTTCGGTGGACACCATTTGGTCCCAAGAAGTGTCGCAATGAGAGCCGACTCGACGGCAAAGTGTGTGTCATAACGGGTGCCACGTCTGGCATAGGACTGGTTGTAGCCAAAGAATTGGCCGCAAAAGGTATGTCTATTTTTTAAATTTTTAAATTAATTATTGTTAAAATTTGTTTATTAAATAGCGATTAAACCCAGAGTTCTTTGTCTTAAAAATTGATATTTAATGTAACTTAACTTTAGCTTAACTTTATTCAATTAAGTGTTTGCTGTAAATTTGCATAATATGGGAGTTAAATAAAATTTAATTAAATGATGACAAGATTTTAACAAGCATATAAAAATATTTATATAAAACTAATTAATAGTTTTATTTTTTATAAATATGAGTTACTAGTTACTAGTAATTTGCTTTATTTAAATAAATGAAATTTTGTTTAAAAAGTAGGTACAGTAACATTTATTACATTATAATGTAATATTGCTAAAAATATTTTACCACAAATATTTAGCTCAATTTTTATGACTATTTAATAAAATACGCAAATATTAAATAATTAAAAATAAAAATTAATATTTTCAATTATTATTTAGAGAAATTTTAAAATATTAAATTATTTTCCCGCAAACTATTTGAGAAATCAAAATCATATTGATGCATTTTATTAATTCTATTACATTTAATTAATGCATTTTAATCAATACATAAGAAAAGGCATTAGTTAATTATATTATTATTAAATAATTATATATTATCTAGATAACAATGTAAGGTTTAATTGCCATTATGGATGCGCCGTACAGTACTGTATATACTGTATATTTTTATAACTGTTTCAATTTAGTTAAATTTAATTAAAGGCAATCAGATTAATAAAAAGTTATTTCTAAAGCCATCTGAATCTAAATGTAGAGCAATTAGTTATACGATAATCAATAGATTAGATTGTCATTAAGGTTACAGTAAAATAAAATTAAGTGATAATTGTTTTAAAATTATTTATAATTAAAAATAAATGATTTCAATAAATGTTTGCATTTAATGTAATAAAAGGCGCAAAAGTAATAATCGGTTGCCGAGACCTGAAGAAGGGATCGGATGTGTGCGAAACGATCGTCAAAGAGGTTCCCACGGCTATAGTTGAGTGTCGTCTCTGCGATTTGGCCTCATTTTCATCCGTCCGACACTTTGCGACCGAATTGGAGTCCGAATCACAGATCCATGTATTGGTCAACAATGGAGGCGTCCTTTCCATCCCTTTCTCTAAGACTATCGACGGATTTGAGACCACTTTTCAGACCAATTATTTGTCCCACTTTTTGCTCACTCACTGTCTTATGGATAAACTAAAGGCATCGCAAACGGCCCGAGTTGTCAACATTGTCTCCGCTTCCTATTCACGTAAAATATTTATTATTTTAAATAAATTTGAAAATTTGTTTTCAAACAAATTTTATATATTATCTAAAAAATTAATAATAATTTATCAAAATATAAGTGTCAGTAAAAACTAATAAATGTTATCTTTTCTTTGCAATCAAATGAATAACGAATACAAACGTAACCCCAATACAGGCGCGGCTCCGGAAGGCATCGATTTTGATGATATTAATTATGAGAAGAGTAACTATTCATCACATTTGGCGTATTGTAAAAGCAAATTGTCTTTGATTTGGTTTACGAGACAATTGGCCCAAAGACTGAACGCAAGCGATGTTCGCGTTTACGCCGCATATCCGGGACTATCAAAGACATCGCTCACCAGACAATTCAACCCTTTCTTCGCATTCATTTGGAAAGTTATGGGATTTTTCATATTGAAAAGCCCTTCATTAGGCGCTCAAACCGTATTGTTTTGTGTGACCGACAAAGAGACCGGAAGAGAGAGCGGACACTACTATTAGTGAGTCTTTTATTCACTTTTACCCTTAGATTCTTGCGATCATTACTCCAAATGACATCCAATATATCGTAATATCTCTCAACTGACCATTAAATCTGTCCTTTTGTTGACCTCATAGTGACTGCGGATTAGTTGCCGATAAGGATCTCAAAACGATTGCTACAAACGACGAGTTGTCTCGACGTCTATGGGATGTCAGCAAAAGTCTTTGTGGACTCAATTCAATCACTCTCTAAGAGAGTAAACGTTTTCATCGATTTTATATTCTGTTTCGGGTTTTCTCTTGTATTGTCTTTTATTATGCAATATAATAGTTGTCACAAATAGTGGACTAAATATATTGATTGTTAAAATAGTGATTATATCGAAATATTTATTTAAAACACCGTATTTTAGTTTATATAGAATTTTAGAGAATTTAAATTATTTTCATTTACACTTTTTTAATACATTTAAATATATTATTTTATTAATTATTTACAAAATCACTTTTTACAAAATATGCAACTAAGAGTCAGTCTATCCATTTTAATTAAATGATAATTATATTTTCATTATAATCAACAGTTTAATAAAATTATCACATATAAAGTATTTAATAAATAGTACAATATAATTAATTAATCAAATATTAACATATTTTTTAGATATAAGTTGTATTTAATAATCTATAGCTAAATAGAAAGCAAATCTAATCAATATAATATATTTTATAATTCTTATGAACAATAATTATTACATTCTTAAGCCGAAACATTTGCACTACATTTGGGCCCAATTATTAAAAATCTCACTCATATTGTAGTACATCATTGATTAGATGGTAATCACCTATTTTTAACACAAATTAAACTTTGATTTACTATATTTCACTTCACTTGTCCTTCAATTCACTTCAAGTTTTAAAAACTTATAAAATATAATCACAAGAATTATATTCTTAATCCTTTGTGCAATAATATGTAATAATTATAACGTTAAATAATCGTTTCGTTAAGTGTTTATTAATTATCAATTTATATCAATAATATGTACTTTAGTATTATCTATAATACAAGATAAATGTCTTAATAAAAGAAAATACTTTTATAGTAAATCTCATTTGCAAATAATTGTGTTAAGAATCGTATGGAAATTTATTATTACTATTATTAAAAAGTTATTTAAAATAAAAACAAAATGATGTTAAATATGTTATTTAATAAGATATTTATATTTGCAATATTTGTGATACAATTATATGAATCGTATGATAGTCTCAAATGTGATCCGTTATTATTGACGCCTTTCATTGAATCCAATCGTTTAGTTGAGGCTAAAAGACTGAGTTCTGTCACAGAATTACCAAATGCTCACAACATTTCCAGTTATTCCGGATTTTTAACTGTAAATAAAAAACTCAATAATAATCTATTCTTCTGGTTCTTCCCAGCGTTGGTATAAATTAAATTAATTATAAATCAAAACACATGTTAAATAATTTTAAATCTATTACAAAGAATAATGATAAGACAGCGCCTGTGATTCTATGGCTTCAGGGGGGACCCGGATGTTCATCAATGCTCGGCCTGTTCACAGAGATGGGACCCTTCAAACTGGACGACAAACTCAATTTGATGGCCAATAAGTACTCGTGGTCTCAAAACTATTCAGTTTTATATATCGATAGTCCGGTGGGAACCGGATTTAGTTACACAACTGATGCCAAAGGTTTCGCAACCAATGAGCAGAATGTGGCCGAAGATCTCTATAACGCTTTGCAACAGTTTTTCAAACTATTCGCTGAATATAAAAACAACGAGTTTTATGTGACGGGAGAGTCATATGCGGGAAAGT